TGCAAAATCACTTTATCGTGTCTCTCGTTGTATTGCGGCCGTTTGTCTTTCAATGCTCGTCTCAAACGCATCAATTGCGTTCGATACCGATCGCCTGTGATTGTTTCGGTTTTAACAATTCATAATACACTACGCCGAGCTGGTCCCGCCAAATACAGAGCATGATCTTGGACGTCAAAATCACCGTTCTTGAAGCGTTGAAACTACGACACGTTCTTTCACTAATAGCGGCCTCATCATAAGTATTTGAGAGCATTCGATGAACCTCAGCCGCAGATTTCTTCATATTGAAGCAAAAAATTAAAACCTCCCGCAAATGACGAGAATTTGGCTCGTAAACTGACATTTTCAATCGAGAATAACTTTATGATGCAGACACAAATCGACTAATGTTTCTATGGGGTTATGTTGACAGATGCTCAAGTTTATTGTATGACGTCTATGATCTATTTATTTCGACTATCACTTACCGCTAAAGCCATCTATAGAAAAACGGCGGAAGCAAAGTTGTACACCTAATATATAATGAATTCTTTACCTGAATAGCAACGATTCCGAGAAAAACGTTCAATCTATTTTCGTATATGCTTTCATCCATTTTTGTCATAATGTCTATGACACTTATATTATACGGCTTTAAAATATCATCGCACTTTCTTATCGCTTTAGCAAAGACATGGAACTTTAATAAGTTTTGGCCTAATAAGATATTAGTTTATAAATTATATTTAGTTTATAAATTATATTTTAATTTATTAATTATAAATTATATTATAAATTATATTTAATAGTAATACGCGATTTATTAATAAAATATGAAATATTGAGTACGTACCCATTCCTGGCCAGTGCGAACCTAAAGCTGAAAATATAAACCAGACAGGTCTGTTCATGCCTTCATAATTTTGAATTTCTTTTATTGAATCTTGTTGAAAAGAATTCAATATTATATACCCTCTCCATGGATGACCCTTTATATTATCTGCATGAATATCGTGTAACAGACGAATATATTCTACATCTATTGAATGGTTAGCAACCTGTAATAATAAAGTTTTAAAAATTAAAATTAAACACAACATCTCTAATTATCCAAAGTAATTATCGAAATATTTCTTAAAAATCTAAACTAACGTCATTTAAAAATAACTTCACAGATTCTTCAGTACGTCCAGATAATATGACAAGTCTAGGTAAGTCATCATTTGATGCTCCATTATTAATTTTCTGTTTGGGATTCCACTTCAATAACATATGAGCGTTCGATCCTCCAAAACCGTAACAATTGATTCCTACATAACCATTTGTGTGTGGCATTTGTTCTTGGATGACATGAATGCTTCCATTTAATAAGGCATCTATATCTTTCCTTGGCGATGTATAATTGATATTTGGTGGAACAAAACCAGTTTCGAATCCTATTATTACCTAATAGTTATAATAACTGTTTTGAAGTGTGAATTCGAATTAATTTGTGAAATGCCGACTAATCATACATTATGTACATGGACTGTTTAATAAATAAAAGTGCAGAGTGCTTTTTGAGAACTATATTGGAAAATAAATCAAATTTTTTAAAAAGACAGTAATATAGAAAAATTATAAATTTATCAAATAATCAAATTATATCAAATAAAAATAAACCTTATAATAATAGATAAAACTGGAAACCATTTATTTTACCTTAGCGATCTGATTAAAACCACTTGCAGGCTCAGAATGCCCGAGATTAGATTTCACGGAGCCGATCATTAATGGAGTTTCTCTATTTTTACACAAACTGTTATAGATAGCAGTAACTTCCTGTGGATCACCAGCTTTGGTACCAGTAGCATGTGCTTCAATATAATCCAAACAAGATGTTGATATTTTGCATTCTTCGTAAAATTCCTTTAGTAAGATATAATGCATTTGTAATGAAGGATATGTTATTCCTTCTGGTTTGTATCCATCGCTATTTAATTTAATATGCGGACATATGGCATAAATCCTCTTAGCATTTTTTGCTTTTTGAAGATATATTACTGCAATTGTTTCGCTACGCGAATAACCATTAGCAATGTTATCAAATGGTCTGCAATAACCAGTGGGTGATAAAATACCTAAGAAGTATAGTAAGCATATTTGAACGTGTGTATAATGAATTATGTTTAAATCAAAATGATCATTTTCATATTTTCTAATATGATATTTTTCAGTTTTTAATCAAATATATTTTTAGAAATGTTTTTATTGAAATTATATGTAGTTTTTGTAAATGATTTTTTGAATTTATTTTTTGTAAATGAGGAATGGTTTACGAGATTCTCTAAATGTCATGCATTACAAGGCTACTAAATTTTAATGAAAATACAAGTATAAATATTTATAATACCAAGTCGAGCGAAGTGCAGGTTTATTGTGGAATGAAGACACAAATTTGCTGCTCCAATTATTGCGTCTTCGCATTTGCCTGACATGATATATTTATAACCAATGCTTAGAGCATGAAGGCTAGAACTGCATGCTGTATCGACCACATAAGATGGTCCTTTCAAATCCAAATAGTACGAAATTATATTTGCCAATCCAGATTTATGATATATAAAATTGTTTTCACCGTCTATCTAATTACAAAACATTTACAATTTCTTTACATAAATCCGTAATAAATCTGTACATAATTCCGTATATAAATAATAGATTCAGTAGATTCAATCATTTCTTTGGTAAATATTTATTTTAGGTGACACTCACTCACTGATTTCGATGTCCTTTACATATCTATGTTGTAAAGGAGAGTGTCCTGATTCTCTACAAGAATTAAGTGGGGGACAGCATTGATTTAGGAGATATAGTAAATTAAAGTTCTATATATACTAGTATACAGAGAATAATATTGGCATAAGAGGAATATTACGAAAATTAAATATTTTGTATATACCATACTAATCTCTTAAAGAATGTAAACAATCATCCTTCTCTTCCTGCTTAAGGGCGCATGACTTTCATGCGAAGCGATTTTCACCCCACTCCCCTCTCCCCTATTTATAGGACTATACAAACACAGCTATTAATTTTTTAATCAAAGCATCTATATCTTTCCTTGGCATTATATAATTAATATTTGGAACAAAATCAGTTTCAAATATTTTTATCTAATAGTTATAATAATAATAATAGTCCTAAAGTGTGAATTTGAATGAATTTGTAAAAAGTCGATTAATCATACATTATGTACATAGGCAGTTCGATAAGTGTTAATAACTTTTTAAAAAAAGACTATGTTGAAAAATCAATCAAATTTTGGGAA